CCAGCCAAGGTAGAGGCTGTGGCTAACTGGCCCACACCTATCACTAAGACCCAAGTGCTGGCCTTCTTGGGGACGGCAGGGTATTACCGACGTTTTGTCCCTGACTACAGTACGGTTGCTAAGCCCTTGACTGACCTGACTAAGAAGAATTTGCCTAAGCAGGTCCTGTGGTCTCCAGCTTGTGAAGCCGCGTTTCAAGCACTTAAGCAGGCTCTTGTTAATGCTCCTGTCCTGGCTGCCCCAGTCCCTAACAAACGTTTTCTTCTTCATACAGATGCTTCCATGTATGGACTGGGGGCTGTGCTAAGCCAGGTCGGGGAAGATGGAGGAGAGCACCCTGTCGCATACTTAAGCAGAAAGTTACTACCCCGGGAAGTAAGTTATGCGGCAGTGGAGAAAGAGTGTTTAGCCCTGGTCTGGGCACTGAAGAAATTGAGCCCTTATTTGTATGGACAGGAATTTTCCCTTATTACGGACCATAACCCCCTTGTCTGGCTTAACCGGGTCTCAAGAGACAATGGCAGACTGCTGAGGTGGAGTTTGGCACTACAGCCTTACAACTTCACCATCAGCTACTGACCCGGTAAGCAGAATGGGAATGCGGATGGGTTGTCCCGGCAAACAGACGTCCCTACTTCTTCCCAGTCCGGTCATCCCCAAGTTGACCCGCCAAAGGGTCAAGCCGGGTCTGCCGGAGTGTTCCACAAGGGGGGAGCCGTGTGACAGACCCATCTGTCTGGATTACAAATGCTTTGTTCGCCTGTTTTGCCGGTTACATGAATTTCCCCATTCATATGCTTTATTCAAGGGAATGTCGGTTTTTGTCGAACGGAACTACCGAACGGACGGCCACCCAGAAGAGAAGTGTGCTGCTGGTTAACCTATTGATCCCAATTAGAACGTTGCGGTTAACCACAGACACTTCTCAATTAAAACCGAATGCCGGGTGGTCGTCGTTCGTATGTCGACCACGAGGCGGCGGCCATTTTGTCCATGCGAAGACCAGCGGTGTTCGACGATTATTTCATGGATCTGAAAACGGACACTTTTTCAGCCGAACACCGCTGAAGCCGTCGACCTCCCCTTCTCAATCGACAAAAGTATACGAATGCCAGCCGTTCGGGAGATTCAACCACACGAATGGACTTAACCCAGATAGCCGTCCCATGGAGTCAATCGCATACCGAAGAACTGAAAGAGACTTTGACTCCATGGCGATTGAACTGTGCGAATGGGATCTGAGCGCTATTCTCCAATAATGTGCACTCAGATCCAGGCTATCTGGGGATATGTAATACGAATGTAATATGTTCAGCAGTTATGAAGTTATAGATTTTCATGTGTTTTTGTGACTTGTATTTAAAATGGCGATTGCCTCTGCTCGGGGAGATAATTGAGTTACTTCCCAATTATCCCCCGAGCAGAGGGGAGGGAACTGTACTGCATGCTGGGAATATTGTGGGGATGTATGTCCAAAATGTCCCCATGTCCTCTGTAAATTCAGTCTCCCATTTGGTCCCCTAGGGGAGTGTCCACCAGGTGGGAGACCTGCATAAATACCGGGCAGGTAGCCCACAGTAAATCAGTTCGTGTTTTACCCTCAAAGCGGAGCTTGGTCTCGTTATTGGGGGGATTTGGTTACCAGCGACTAGAGACTACTTATTTGGATTATTTGCCGCTTGGGAGATATTGACGTTCGGTTACTATTTGCCGTTCGTGGATTTGCAGCTCGTGAAGGGAATTAGCCGTACAGGTACCGTTCGGGAGTTTGGAGTGTTCCCTGGCTGGCGGTTCGCATGGTTTTATTATACCCGCTACCCGACCACATTATTGCGAACGGGGAATACTCGCTAAACGGCGGTTTGTACATTTTACTACTGGAGGTACCGTAACAGGGCCGAATTGAGCTGAGGAGGTATTGGTAGTCCTGCTCCAGTTCCCACTCACTACTAACCAGACAGGTGAGTTCCCGTCCCAGTTCCAAAGCTCCTGGAAATGGCAACATATTTTTCCAGTAAAAATAAATAGCCCAAAACCGTGACTCCTCTGGACTTCCAGAGTCATCGACTTCCTCCATGGCCTTTACCAAAAGGCTGGGACCATCATAGCCTTCCCCCTCTGGTGGAAAGTCTTCTGTCACCCAAGTGTCTGACTGAATGGCATACCACCATAGTGCCCTGTATGAGTCGTCCAGCATCAGCTCTCTCTGGCTAGGAATCCAAGGTGCTTTACCCACTCTGTTAAGGGTTGCTCTCCCAGGAGACACATTCGTATTGCCATACACTTCTCTAGCTGCTGTTCTTCACTAGGGAGACTCTCGCCGCGGTGACGCTGTGATACCTCCAGGGACTCCTGCCAGAGTTCTCGAATTATAAATTCTTCATAGACCAGTTCCTCCTCAGCTGACACAGGGCCACACTCAGCCAGTGTGCCTTGTACCCTCCACTGAAACTCTGCTGAACCTCCTCCACGTATGGGTTTGCTGCATAGGTGCTCGCTTGCTCCATATGGCTTAATACAGGGGCACTATACTGAATACTAGCGTTGCCCTCAATATAATTCACACGTTACCAGTGTCTCTGACTAGGACACCATCCCACTGCTTGCCACCAATGTAACGGAGCTTCTTGTACCCTGGTTTGGTACCTCCGCGGACGGATGCTCCTAGTGCTTACCGAGGGCTCAAAGCACTTCTCCAGACACCATAATTACTGCAGACCCCATGAACTGCCGCAGCTTAGTTGGGGTCTTGCCATTTCCTACCCACCCTGGACCTACAACAAGGCTCCAGGTTCCAGTGGATGAACCACTCTTCCTCCAAAGAGCGAAGCAGGAACAGCTCTTACAACAGCTAGTTATTATTCAAGGGAGTATGGAGAGCATAGCAATCCCTTGTAGCAGTTTCCCCCACTAAAAGACAACACTCTAGATTGAGGGTAAATCAGGAACAGAAAGTTTAATGGCACACACTGTTCTTTTATACAAGTTTTACAGCAAAGGTGACGCCCAGGTGGACCTAGTTGGGCACCGAATACAAAACATCCAAGCCAATAAAAATAGAGGTTTACATTCAGACACTCCTCTACAGTGTATACAATCCCTTCCCTCTGTCTGTGATATAATTAACAAAGACAATGGACTAACTCAATTAAATCTAAGCAGAAAAAACATACATTTTTACAAACCCCAAAAAGTACCCGAAATACAACATATCCCCACAAATGTCACATCCCAGATAGCCCCGATATGAGTAAACAAAATATCCCAAAATCACCCAGATTGGTTAAAGGGTTCAGGAATTTCCTGAAAGTCTTATGCCCCACCGTGCACATGGTCCCATGCCCAAAACAGTTCCATACACGCGACAACAAAACACTGCTGGGCAATTTAAGATGACCGCCTCCACATGTTTGAATCTGTTCCAGTTAAGAATCCAAGGGGCAGAAACAGTACTTTTGAACATGGGTTAACACAGGACCCATAGTCCCAGGGTAGGAGGCTGGCAAGCAGGCCCCTCCAAAAACTCATGGCAAACTCCCTTAAAAAGGGGAGTTTGTCACAACTGGTAAGACCACATCTTGAATAGTCCATGCAAATTTTTTTTAAAAAGCCCCCTCCTTGGAGAATATCCAAACGGGGGTGGTTAGTATGAGTTGTTACCATCCATTCTGGGAATGAACCCTTCTACTAATGTATGAAACAAAAATTAGGAAAAATCTCTCTTGAAAAATCCCTCTTAGGTATAAAGGGGTAATTGCACTCTCTCCTTAATCCCTATGTATTTCTAAACAAATTGAGTTTTTTTGTTACCTCATGGCCATTGGAAGTAACTAAAAACCATCCATTTTTTAGAAATACATAGGGATTAAGGAGAGAGTGCAGGTAAGTTGTTTTTCTTTGGTTTTTACTATATATTTGGGCTGATGTGAACTGTAGTCATTGCTGCCGCCCAGTGATGGGAGTGAGCACAGGACTTATCTTTCTGCATAAAGGGGTAATTGGTTGAAAATTTTAACTTTCAACATATAAGCAAAGACGAGGAGGAGGATAACTATATAAACACTAGAAATTGGTAGTAGGTATGCATGTGATGGCTAAACCAACCGGCTTTATTGATTTTACCAAAGTGTATTATCCATACCTAGTGCCATTTATAAGTGCATAGAAAGAGTCTATTGCTTATTATCCTAGTAATATATCACAGCATGTAGTCTCTCAAGTTACCAATGTCAATATAATATAAGTCCATGTTCTGAAAAGAGCCCCCTATAATATAATCCTTGTTGGACCCTAAAAAGGTGGGCGTATATCGACAAACATTAGCTTAGAAAAGACAAATAAGGGAGAGACTCGTTAAAATGTTAAAGGGTAAGAATATGAGAAAAGGAAATTAATATGGAGGGGTATAACGTGCGTAGTTATAAGACCTATATCTTGACACAGGTCAAATGAAGCATTCATACAGGACAATATCTACCAGGGCCGTCTTTAACGCGGGGCAAACGGGGCAGCTGCCCCGGGCCCAGTTTCTCTTGGGGGCCCGAGGCACCTGCCCCATGGGCCCCGCTGCCCTCATCAATTTATTTTTTTCCCCATCCTCTGAGTCCCACCGGGTGGCCCATGCACTTAGGGCCACCCAGTTGGCTTGTATCAGCAGGGGCCCAGTCAGGCGCTGTTGCCCTTTAACACTGCGACCAGGCCCCTTGCTTTCCGGCAGCCGTCTGGGAGGACGTGACAGCCTCAAGTCACTTCCTCTCATAAAGAGAGGAGCTGCATGGAAGGTGGCAGGAGGAGTCGCAAGGGAGAGAGGACGAGGCTGCAGTGAGGA